ACTTCAATAGATATATTAAATATTTATTTTTATTAACCTTACAGCTACACATATATATATATATATATATTATAAAAGAAAATACTACGACAATATACAAGGCCAAAACAGATTACATTGATAAACAAAATATACGAAACATAAGTCAATTAATTGTTCCCTTTGGAGTAAAGGCTCTTGGGCCGTGGGGTTTAAGTGTACAGGCGTTAATTAAAGATTTAAGTTGCCGCCTGGTAGATAGTACTGGTGACCCCAGAGCTGGTGCTTTTCTCGCTGAACGAATAGGTATCGCAATACAGCGAGGAGATGCTGTCAGCGTTAAAGGTATACTGCTACATGGACCAAACTTTTTAAATTAGTTTAAATTTTTGATTATCTTTAGTCAATTAAGTACATTTATAGATACAAAAATAGAAAACTAATATATAAAAAAACGACAACTAAATATTTTAAAGAAAAAACAAAATTTGTTACTACTGCTGAATATGTCAATGTGTGTTTTCCCGCTTCTTGAAATATTTCATCACCCTCTTCGGTAATGTGCAAAATGTGAACTTAATAAATTGTATTATTTGAAACATTGGCGAATTACGCAGATAATTCGTAAATATAGTTATAAAATATTACCAAATATTACTCACCTCAGCTATTTGTATAATACACACTCCTAAATTCACAGAAATTACGATCAAATAAATAAACATCACTGTCGATATTAAGGAATTAAACAGTTTATGATACCTGAAAATATTATCATATATTAAAATAACTGCTAATACTGAATTAATTTACTGGAAGTATAAAGAATATGTATGTATATATGTAACGCATTTCAGCACCGGTACTAGCACGGACAGAAACATCTGTAGCGCGTGATAGAGTAGCACAACTTGAAGTTGGGATCTGCTATGGCCATTGGAAGCATCATAACATATTATATTGATATTTTTTTGGTAAACAGGTTGAATGCCGATCTTTTGGATAAGATTCACAGTTCTCTGCATCATTATAGGAAATCGAACGGCCACGACTAACAGATCTAAACTGTAATATTTTTATCGTTATCATTTCCGTATCACCTCGACGTCAGTCGTTCCAAAACTGAGCGTTATATACGGCAGTTTTTGCCACCAGTATATGGAACCAAGCGACCCACTTCTGGTCCCACAACTTGAAAAGAGCTTACCAATTCTTAAAAGGCCGGCACACCCTCTGGCATTAAGAGTGTCCATGGGCAGCGAGGTATCACTTAACATCTCGTAAGCCTCCTGCCCACTTGCCTGTTTTATAAAAAAAACAACTTACTCTATAAGTTTCATGTAAAATCCGTGACAGTTAGCGATATTCTTAAAAGAAGTCACATTATTTTTGTAACAAAAGATCTTCATGTTATAAATTCGCAATATCTTCAATTGTCCAGCAAAGAATATCATAATAGATACGACACATGTGTCCCATCCCACGACATAAGCACTTACAACATGTCCAAGAACAGTTTGAACGAACATTGAGCAGTAATAGCCTGGTGGAACACGATCAAACGGTGTGTACCCGTCGAATAGGTACAAATAGCTATCTGTACCATTTCCAACGTGATTTTTCCGATATGGTTCAGTGAAAATACTAAAGTTGGAAAAAAATGCGAGCGCCCAAAAAAAGAATGTCACCCTACGGCTGCGGTGAATATAGTTTTTTATATGGATAGTGATGTCTTTTTGAAGCATTTGATGCCTTTCTATCTCCGATATGGATTCAATCAAACGAGACCAGTTAGCGTAGTGTTTCTTAAAGAAACATGCTTTAACAATGCCTATATGAAAAGGGATATACTGCAGTATGAGCTTTATTGAATCGACATTGAGAAATAACACGCATTTCACGTATTGACTACAGAAAAATGATGTTGTGACACAAAACAACAGTAACTTTAATCGGGCAACACGATCAAGGGCTGGATGCCAAAGGCCAGTAAATTTCAAAAGGCGTAAATGCGGCCCAAGCAATGGGTATTTAGGATCTTCTAGTAATTTTAACATGATTTAATACGTCTCTATGGTATGAAAATTGTGTAATGTATAACGTTTTAACAGATTATATAAGCTATCGGAATATTTAACAAAAGCATGTTATTTTATCGCAATTAATAACATGCTGGAACACTGCTATTACATGTGGTTTGGGTACATAATTTATTAATCATACATTCTCATTTCAATAATTAGCTGCATAATAAGGACTGCTTTCGAAATAATTACAAACGTCATAAGTTGGTACCTAACTACGAACTAGTTATGTGCCGCGATGTCGTATTCTATAATTCGCCCAGGTCTGTCCCATTTGATAGCTCATGACAATAACTTTGTAAAATGGTTGTTTTTTTTATATAACAGGGGGCAAACGGGCAGGAGGCTCACCTGATGTTAAGTGATACCGCCGCCCATGGACACTCTCAATGCCAGGAGGCTCGCGAGTGCGTTGCCGGCCTTTTAAGAATTGGTACGCTCTTTTCTTAAAGGACCCTAAGTCGAATTAGTTCGGAAATACTTCAGTGGGCAGCTGGTTCCACATAGTGGTGGTGCGTGGCAAAAACTGCCTTGAGAAACGCTCAGTTGTGGAACGGCGGACGTCGAGGTGATACGGGTGGAATTTCGTATTCTGCCTTGACGTCCGATGATTAAACTCAGCTGCTAATATTAATCCGAACAACTCCTCTGAACACTCTCCATGGTAAATGCGGTAGAAGATGCAGAGTGACCCCACATCTCTACGCAACGCCAAAGGATCAAGCCGCTCGGAGAGGGATTGGTCGTCGGCGATTCGAACCGCTCCGCGTTGAATACAGTCAAGTGGAAGGAGTTGGTACTGGGGAGCCCCCCCCACCCAGAGGTGAAAGCAGTACTCCATGTGGGGCCGAATTTTCGCTTTATATATTTTTTTTTTGCGGAAAACGCGCAAACTTGTGTCTTCTTGGGGTTAAATTGGACTAGGTTTAGGTTGTATGTTTAAACATCAAAGTTTAATGATATTTAAATCAAGGTTCTGTGATATAATTTCAAGTAATTATCAATTCTACATTTAGACATCGACATAAAAAAAAATAAAAAAAATAACCTATTAGTTTAAATAATTAATTGACAAATACAATAGAAGATTTCAACGTATGCACTTTCTGATTGATTTTTTGTTTAATTTCCGTGGAGCTGATTTAAATGCAAGGACAAAGTGTAGGTACTACGGAGATATTTCTATCTAAACGCATCCACTTATTTTTAATTAAATTATACTAATATTAGTACCTATATATATATAGCTTTTATGCAAAGGGCTCCAAATCTTGTCTCAACTAAGCACAATAGGGGCGCGAAGAAATTCCGGCTTTACCGAAGTTTTAGTGGAGTCCTCGCTGAATGCTAAGGGCCTTCGTTATGTCCAGATAAGATCAGCGGCGGAAATTAAGAGGAAATTGTATTTGTTTCTTATACAACGACGCCTTAAAATAGCTAGCTTAGTGATACCACGTTTAAATAAATTTTAATTTTTATGAGGGAAATGTCAGAATCTGTCTCTAATTAAATATATTATGTTAAGTAAAACACATTTAAACTTAACTAAACTTAAATATAATAAAATCTTAGGTAATATTATTGACAAATCATGTTTTTATCGTATTGTACCGAAAATCTGTTTTGTTTTGTAAACACGCGTTTTGTTATATACTATGTGGCGATACAGAATCTGTGGATGTATGTTAAAATTATTTTTAAACATTCATTCATTTTAGGTAGTAAGATAACTATTACAATTGAGATACATAAAACTACATCAATAATAAATAATTGAAGGATAATCTAATATTATCCAAATAGTGCCGTTGGTATTATTTTAACGTTCCAATCTTAGTTGTATCTATTCTGTGCAGCGTATGACGCTTTCAAAGCTAGCTGGTACATAGCATCGCTTTCGCTTGTTATATCAGTTTTAAAATTTGACGGTTGGTGACTTCGAATATTTTCATTTTTCAAATCAAACGATTAACGAACGGCAACCAATTGAATGTGGGCTTCGGATTCTGATAATTTTAACGAAAAGTACTTTTTAGTATCTAAATGGTAGAAAGTTAAACAGTATATTATAAGTGTTTCTAAAGTTTTTAATAACTTAAATGTGTGATTGTGTGTGTTGTGTTGAGTGATGATGGTGTGACTGCAAAAAGGCCCTGGCTTGTGCGCGAAAAAGGGTTCGGTAGCTGCTCCCTCGAAAATCGGGTCCACACAAAACATGTCTGCTAATATTAAAGTAGTGGTGAGGGTTCGTCCCTTAAATATGAAAGAAATGCAGTCGAACAAGGGTTGTGTTTTAAATGTCACCGCACTTTTTTGATGATACTAATTATGTAGGAGTCTCGGGGGATCTTCATTGGAACACCTCCAAGTGATTTTTGCTGCGGAAACACGTATTAGTATTAAAAAAAAAAATTAAAGTTTTGTGTAATGTATTGAAATTTGTAAACAATCCGCCATTTTCTACTTTTCTATTGGTTATAAGAGATGTGACATTCTCGTTTTCTATTGGTTATAAGTGATGTGACATTCTCGGTAAATTAATCGGATCGATTATTTTCTCAAAAAATTTGTAGCGAATTTTTGGACTCGCACTCCCAGTTGAGCACGAGCGACGAGGGCGCAACGACGAGGTGCGGCCCCCAATCGTGTCGCTCCAGGGCCAGGTGCGCCAGCAGCGCGATCGTCTGGATGGATTTTCCTTTCACGAGTCATTTGTCGCATTTACAAAACGCTTCAACTATATTATTGAGCATATATTGTTATTTGTTATATTTATATGTATTTGATATGACAACTTATATGTTTACAGTTTAGCTTACCTGTATACTAACCGTGTGATCTGCCACTGCACCTCTCTCACAGCTACCAATTTTTTTTTGACTTAGTTTTTATTTTTTATTTAATATATTATTTCATCTTGCTTGGTTGTGTGGTATAATGGCTGATAGGGAATTAGAACAGCGATTACAACAGCTGACACTGGAGAATGCAGTTCTTCAGCAGAAACTGACTGATATTGGATCTACATCAGAATCAACACCCAAGTATGAAGAGCAAGCGGTGTGCCAGGTAGCTGTCAAGTTACCACCTTTCTGGCCTGACAAACCAGCGGTATGGTTTGGGCAGGTGGAAGCTCAGTTTGATATAGCGGGTATTGTTGGTGATAATACCAAATATAATTATGTAATAGGTAGATTAGACCAAAAGTTAGCTGGGGAGATTGAGGATATCATTACCAGACCCCCACCCATAGGCCAACGGTATAAAAAGGTAAACGATGAGTTAGTACGGCGTCTTTCAATGTCAGAGGAACAGCGGGTACGCCAGCTTATTAGTGTAGAGGAGCTTGGAGACAGGCGACCATCGCAGTTTCTGCGTCATCTGCGTTCGTTAGCGGGTAACACCCTTACAGATGAAAATATTTTGCGCCAGCTTTGGATGCGCCGTCTTCCTCAAAATATTCAGGCTATTTTAGCTTCGCAATCTGAACTGAGTCTGGACAAAATAGCAGACCTCGCAGACAAGATCACAGAGATATCAGGACCCAGCCACCAGGTGTACTCCTGTGCGATGCCAGCGCCTGCACCATCGGTACTGGATTCTTTAGTAAAGACAGTGGAAGATTTAAGCAAGCAAGTTGCATCTCTTACCAACTCGCATCCTCGCGGTCGCTCACGCAGCAAATCAATATCTAGACAGCGTTCTCGCGGTGCCTCACCTAGAAATTAAGATATGTGTTGGTACCATAGAAGGTTCAATAGCAGGGCAACCAAATGTACCAAACCCTGCAACTGGCAACCCGACAACTCGCCGTCGGAAAACAGGAAACACAGTCAGTAGACGCGGCGACTGATTGTTCTCATCAAAGCCGCCGTATTTTTGTTACAGATAAACATTCGAAACTCCAGTATCTAGTGGATACTGGCTCGGATCTCTGTTGTTTTCCTAAGCGTCTTGCAAAAAACCGTCGTGCTTCTGCAGATTTTGATCTAAGCGCTGCGAATGGGAGTTCTATTAAAACCTATGGCAACATATCTTTGCATCTTAACCTAGGTTTGCGCAGGGATTTCCCCAGGAAAACCCAGCTGATTTCGTTGTACGACTTCGACGGAAAATGGCTGAAGTACAACCGACACCGGCATCGCGACATGGCACCAAACGACCCTTCATATTTAAAGAGCTACCTGGAGCGACGCACATATTTTTGCGTGACGATACCGTCAGACGTCCTCTGAGCCACCATACACGGGTCCATATAAAGTTTTAAAGTACGCCATTGATGGTAAAACCCTGAACATCGATTTAAAGGGGAAGGACGTAACTGTAAGTGTGGATCGCGTTAAACCAGCGTTCGTCGAGCAGTTTGTTTTTCCTTCAGCTCGCACACCTAGCTTTGTACCCGCTGGCCCTGCGTCGCCGTCATAACTCTCGCCTACTGTCGAAATTATTCCTCCCGTTTCTGCCCCTAATCCTGTTGTTACCAGGTCAGGCAGAACGGTTAGATTTAAGACTAGGTTAGATTTGTAAATCTTAAGTTTTTCTTTGTAATGTCAATTATTTTTAAATATTTTAAGTTTTTTTTTTTTATTGTTATATACTATAATTTTTCGCCTTAGTTTTTCTGTCTCCGTAGGGGGGTGGTGTAGCGAATCGTAGATACGCACTAAAAATGTACATACTCTTTTGTGTAGTATTTTCTCTAGGATTTTGATGTATGTGTTAACATAAAGATAGGACACTAAGGAAAGAAGAAAACAGACGTCACTCAGACGGACTTTGAAGACAAGTGAATATATATATATGTTTTTCTTCCTTGAGCGTTTCTATGTGAATATAAATTAATTACTCTTGTTTGTGAAAAATAAACCAATTAACAAAGATAAAAATGGGTTGTGATTTATTTCAAGATAGCACATCCCATAAATTTTTTAAATACTTTGACGCATTTCCGGCAGCTAAAATCACTTGGAGGTGTTCCAATCAAGGAGACTCCTGCATAATCGGTATCATCAGATTCGCGTGCATCACTCTCACACCCAACCCCAACTTTCTGTATTATTTAATTCTTAGTAGAATAAAGTGTTTACTTTAATATCCAAAAAGTTCCCAAAACCGAATCAGAGCACCCCACTATCCACGTGGTCTTGTCTGCCCTACCCCTAGAGTGTATATAAAAAATCGGAGGCGCGGAGGAAGAGCAGCCCCCACCCGCTGTAACAAAGAACAGGCATTATGCAAGCCGTAGGCGACAAAAAGCCGAAGCTGCGGAGGCTTGAATAAATTGCCTGTGCTTTGGTACGCAAGGGTGGAGGGGCTGCATTTCCCGTAACGCCGGAGCTGCCCAAAAATGTATTATTATTATTGTTCGGTTAGGTTAGGTTAGTATATTAATATTTTTGTTAAAGAGCTGTCCAAAAATTTATTAAATAGAGGTTCTATGTATCATAAAATAATAAAAATTATGCAAGAAATAAAAAAATATTTGGGTTCGGACACCCCTTATTAAAACCAAGTAATAAGTACTTGGTGTTTAATAGATAGATTGAAGCCGATTCTCAGACTTACTGAATATGCATAAAAAATTGTCATAATAATAGGTTGAGCCGTTTCGGAGGAGTATGGGAACGTACATTGTGACACGATAATTTTATATATATAGAGATAAAAATGCTTTTTTTTTAGATGTGTGTAGAAGATATTCCTCGTCATGAGCGTGCCGCTGAAAGTTATGTGAAGCAATGTGCACTACTCGATACCAAAGTACTTTCTACTTGGAGCGAATGGAATGAGAGCCAAAAGAAGTTGAATTTAATGTACAATCAGGCTGTTGCAGATCATCCAGAACTCATAGACTTTGTCCAGAAACTACAGACCCAAGCCAAACTAAGAATAGCTGAAGCCAGAGACGATACAAGCTTCTAGCCATCGAGCACTAGGAAATTAAATCCTTCACAGACTATGCCAGCATTTTGCTGAATGCTGAAGAAGCTTTATCTAACTTTAAAAGGTTATGATAGAGCCACTCCTGCGTTGACCAATGAGTATCTAGAGATTATGAAGAAGGCAAAGTCGGTCAAGGGTATACTGTGGTCCGATGAGGTACCGGATAACTATGACTTATTGAAATTTGTGTCATCACTAGATTTAGAAAAGCCAATCAGTGGTATCAACTTTGATGATGAAGAGGACATTGAAAATAGGGAGCCACTCCCTTCAGCAAAGAAGCGTAAAGGGACATTCACTAAAGACACTCCTATGAAGATAAATAACGATACAGTCATTATTAATGATTCATTTGAGAGCATGGATGTGAAACAAGCCATGAATTCAGCGAAGAAGGTAAAAAAAGAACCGAGTCAGTCATCAGAAGTGGATAATTATAGAACTATTGATCCGAACTGTTTGAATTCAACATTTGTTATGGCAAATAAAATGGACTGGAAGAAAACTGTGAAGGTGGAACCGAACAGACAACCGATTAAAGCTCAGACAATTTTAACGACAGAGGTAAGTCTATGTTGCGTATGAGATATTGTTCATTGATTTTTTGTAAAGTAAATTTCGTTTTCTGAGTTACACAATAATTGCTTAGCCGGGAATCGAACTTTGTTTATCTTAGCAAATTATTTTATTTATTTAAACTTTCTTACATTAAATATAAATTATTCACGATGCAACGAACCACCTTATCGCTAAGCGTCGTCTTCCAGGCAACCCTAGTAAGGAAAAAATATTTTAACGGTAAACTGCGAAAAGTGCTTAACTAAACTAACAAAAATAAATTTATAAGTTACAATCATAAATTATAAAATTAATTAAAATCAACTAAAGGCTAATCGTTGATGAATCAAAATGAATGCTAAATTCCAAAATAAGAAAAACAAGAATAAGTAATATTAACACTAAATTTATTGTAAAACGATAGCTTATATTATTTATGTTCTATTTTTCGCATTTTTCGAAAATTTTATTATTAGAAAATTAGTTTTAGAGTAGTTTTTTTAATCAAAATTACTCTTTATATATAATTTTATTTTCCTTAAAAGTTTTCCATACATTGACAAAATAAATGATATTATAAAATAATAATTTCAACAGCTAAAATAGTGAAGCCGATAGTCGGAAAAGTAATTTCCTTCAAACGAAACCCGGCGCCTGTAGCAGTAAGGCCTCTTGCTGGCTTCGGCTCTGGTGTCGCCAGAGATGGGACATCGTTGCAAAGGAATGGTCAAGGTAACGTTTTATAATTTACGTTATTTTTATTTGTAATGATTTTTGATTTTAAAATGCATAAGATAAAATTTAATAAAAACGACGTCTCAATTTTAATAAAGTTGTGACTAGAAAGACTATGTTAGTTTAACACGAAATAATTTTAACAAATTAAAAATTAAAAATGTATACAATGTATATAAAAGCATGGTGGAATTTTTTATCATAATCTAGAGTGGTAGTACTAAAATGCATTTCTTTATTTTTAACATATGGATTTCAATGTTTGTCCTTCATCTGTGTAAGATAAGGTCCCTTAAAATTTTAAAAATATCGTCGTATTCACGTATGTTGCAATATTAATTTCATATAATTGAAATTCCTTTTATTAGTAAAATTGTTAAAAGAAACCGTTCCGTAAAGGTGTCCTGATTGTGTAGAACTTTTTTAGACACAAAAAGCGTATAGCCAAAATATCAATATTTTGCTAAACCATAATTGATAATGCAATAAAAATGTAGCAACAAAAGTTTTCTTCAGCACTTGCAACGTCTTTATTTCTCTATGTATGTTTTATGAAATGCTTAAAGGTAGTAGCTAAATATATTTCAGTATGACATCCTTCATAGCAGTGTTGGCAGTGGCTTGATCGTGCGACTGAGGTCGTGCGTTCAAATTACGGCTGTGGCACCTAGGCAATTTTATTTCTCTATCTGCAATTAACACTTGCTGATACGGTGAAGGCAAATATCGTGAGAAAACCGGCATGTCTTAAACCCAAAAATCGATGACATGTGTCAGACATAAGGCTGTTTATTTATGTGATACTAAGACTCATATATATAGCGCTACTGGATTGTTTATTTATTATTATTAATTAAAATCCTAAGTTAGTTTTGATTAGTTTGGTAGTTCTACATGACTTTTGATTGGTTTATTGAAGTGAAAGCGATCTTAATTAGTTGTCGAGTGAATTGACGTGTAACGATACAAAGCTATGTCTGAGCTTGTCATATTTGTCTGATAGGTAGGCATTGCATATTAATATTAACAGGATATTGGTTTGTTAGAGAATTGATTTATTTTTAATATGAAGCGGAAACAAACAGGTTAAAATTTTATTTTCAAAAATCCGCAACCATTGAAGAAACGAATCCAAAATGGCGACGCATTTTTCAACCGTAAATAATTTTCTAGGTAAAAAATAACCAATTTGATTATAGGTACAAATATGTATATTGGTAGAAATGATACCTTTGACTAATAACAAATTCGTTATACATTCTTATAATCCTCACTGCCTCCATAGTTTTTTTGTATTGCGGTTTTGTCGACAGTTTTGCTATCGAACAGTACCAACAGTTATTACGGATTTGTTTCTTATAATCCTGTTTTATAATGTGATGTTTTTGTTTCATGTATTAATTAACTAACCTGTGTGTGTCCCGTGACGTCATTAACAACTAACAGGCCATAAGGCGAATTCAAATAAAAAATCAGTTGGTTTTAAAGCAGTCCGAGCGAGGCAACGAATGCAGACTCATCCATACTCGAGGTCTGCCTTAAGAAAATGATAAAATAAGATATATGGCGTTATGGAAAAGTGTATTTTTATATAGAATTATTTTTAGGTATTATATTTTGATGTTTAATTGTTTTTTAAGTGTATACAAATGTGTGTCAACAAGTTAATCAATACACATTATTATAAATTCCCCAATAGATTGAATCTTAAACTTTTTGTCACTTCAGAAGTATAGTTTTCAACTTTATATAACAGTATTTTAGCAAGGAACAAAGTCAATGTCTACCAATTTTGTTCCAAGTCTTAAAGACTTAGTTTAAGACGGTACGAAGACGATTGTCATTGGACAAACGGAATGACGGTCTGTGATTGGACGAGAGATGTTGACCAATCACAACCAAACGAATCGTTAACGACTTTCTCAAACCGTTAATTAAAATTAAAATAAATTAAACTCATTTATCTACCGAAATGACATAATAATATAGTGTAAAGACATAAATTATAATTTGTGAATAGCATTTTCTGATATACCAATTCAATTGGTTTCCGATGTGAATTTGACCACGCGACTACAATAGACTCCACAATTTGCTTTTGAGACGCAATAGTGAATAATTTTGGAACGATATTTCGCATAGGGCAAAGTTCCACCAGGACTGGAACCGTTATCGAATGTTTCAGAGTACTGGTGCAGTACCCCAACTAAATATAAAACTGCAGTTAAACCTAGATTTAAATTAACTTAATAAAGTAAAATTTATACATTTATTGGAAAAATGTAGCGCATTGTTCTAGTAACTGGGTTTTATTCTGTAATACCCCAACGGATACCAAATTGCGGCCGATATTCCCCTTTATATTGAAATGTACGTTTATTGATTGGACACAGGCGTCTTTGCATTCTCTTTTTGAGGAAAAGCTAATTTTCTTTGAGTTTCATAAGAACTTTGCAACGCCTAATTTTCTATTGCGGTTTTGCATCGGTTTTATTAATATCTTTAGACGATATCTTGACTATGTATTTATGGACAAATACTTTTGTATGCTAGAACATATAACAGTTGCTTTGAATAGAATATTTGCGTATAAATATTTCTACACAGCTTAGACACATTTGTAAAATTAAAGCGTAAATAGCTTCATTAATGAAATATGAAAAAACTGTTGAGTCACGCGTTTATACAAACCCGACAATTATAGTTCAATAGTAAAATTATTGGTCGGTATTCTTTTCAAACCAGTCTCTGGTAACGCTCGTAGTAGCGACTTAGCTTTAAGTATGACTTCTATACGTCAAATTTACTTTTGACACTAGGGAGTCCTATTTACATCAGTCTAGAAATTCTAAACGTCCCTTGTAGTAAAACTTTATGAAAATATGGTATCGGCCTTAAAAGTATGTAGTATACTACATACTTTTAAGGCATTGACGCATTTCTTGACAAAATTAATCTTGCCCATAACTTGGTCTCATAAATTATTTTGTTGTGTGTGTGTGTGTGTGCGCTACGGTGTTTAGCTTTAAAGTATTTATAGTAATGTAATGCAATGACCCTGTTTTTTTGTAATATTTTTTAATATTCATTCCAAGTTCATTACAGAAACGAAATTCGCGCTTGAGCAGGCCATAGTGAGCAAGCGTGATGCATGGTTAGCGCCGCCATATATACGTTTCTTTAATGAGCCGGGTTAAATAATTTATTGAATACTTTAATTTAAGAATTCTAATATTGTAGAAGTTTAAGAATTTTGTAATTTGGTGTCAATTATAGTTTATCCTAATTTTTCAATAATTGTGGTGCGTTTTAAATTAAGAATTATATTTGAATTGTATTAATGGTTCTAAATAAATAGATTACGATTGATTTTTATTTTTATTCTTCCCAAAAATCGTTATTTTATGACTAGGAAATGAATAGGAAATTTTCAGTTAATTCATAAAACTACATTTAAATTGTCTCTTTTTACTAAAGCACTCTGTCGTCTCTGTCAAATTGTGTATACGCTGTGATGAAAAGAGAAGTATTTTCGTTAAAATCTTGTGATTAGACTGAAATAGTTCCAGTGGATAAGAGAGGGTGTTTATGATCATTACCATCGATTCGATTTACACAAACTTATATTAGATTTTGCCATACCATATCGTTATTTAAATTTAAAGTCTAAAATGTTTACCTATTCG